TCAACGATGAAGCCGTACTAAAAAGCAGGCCTAGGAAACCACGGGTTTTTCAGAATAAGGTTAAAAAGTCTATTCACAGTTGTTGCATTAAGAGCCCTGATTAAAGTGTTGATTAAACCGGACAACACATAAAAAAACAGACTTGACAATGTGTTCATATTCTGGTATATGTATTAGGTTTCAATAATAACAATTGTTAAGTTTTCCTTTTTGGGTACAGATTTACAGACGTACCATTTTCAATTCAGCCTATCATTTTTTTTTTTCTAAAAACATTTATACAGAATTGCCTTCAGGTTTTAAAATATACATATTTCCTCGCTGTATTTACAGAATACCAACCCGACATAATTTGCAGGTTGCAATGAAACATTGTATAAAACAAGCGGATTTGGGAAGGAGGAACTTGAAACACAGAAGAAACATGGATAAACAGATAACATCTATGATAACAGTCGCGGGTGAATATTGTGCTTTTTTTTTTTTTCCCGGAGGAATTGTCCCAACTTGAATCTGATCAGACGCCAGCGGAAGAAGGAATTCCCTCTTTCTCTCTCTGTGTGGTGCTTTCTTTGTCCCAGAGAGCAAGTCAGTGTGAATAAAGGCAGGAAAAAAAAGCCACTCACCCTCCAGATGATATCTCAATCAGACTGGAATTGTACAAGAACAAAGGAGGGGGGAAGAAATCTCTTTTTAAACCCAACCTGACCCCGATTTGATAGTTTTTTTCCCAATATTTAGAGAGCCATTAAAAAGGCCCAGGTTACACAGAGTTCAGAATCTGGTTTTAAAGTTACCCCATAAATCTGCACAGTTGGAACTTTGCTTCTGGTTGCAGTGGAGAAAGAAACTCATCGGATGCACTGATAAAGAGGAAAACAGTCGCGTCGCTTCCCTTCGCTTTTCCCTCCTGTCCTTCAGATGTCGCTACTGGAAAAACGTTTGTATGCCACAAAAACTTTCACAAATGCACGACTGCAAAACCTACGCCTGTTAACGTGTGATTTACTCAAAGGGACACGAATCTGGACCTGCAATGGCTTTCAGCTGAGTCAGATTATATGAAAGGAAATGAAGGTGTTGAGTTTACAGAGATATGCACTGAAAACAAAAAAACAAAAGGCAGTACCAGAGGGGGGAAAACAGACTTCATTTAAAAACCCTGGAGTTTTCAAATTACTAAGAGGGACCCTGTGCCTGTTTGATGACAGAGAATGAACTACTACCATGACATATACAGTACTGGAGGTTGGGAATCGTCACCTGACATGGCTGAGTAGTTAAACATGAGTACATTCTGCACAGGGCGTTTTTATTTGACTTTATCTTCAGGTGTGGGGCAACAGTGTGGATGAATGCTGACGTCAAGTCCAGAGGTCGCCGACAGACCGAGCGAGCGATCGGCCCGTCTCGAAGCTGCTGTCACACATCGTCCCACAACTGGAGCTCAGCTGGTGTTAAGCGTTGACCCAGTGCGACCCGGTCCGAGCCACCCTCAGCCACTCTGGATATACTTTTTGATGACCACGCAGCCGTGTCTGAAGAGCGGGCAGGGCAGTGACTGCAAGAGTGTCCAAGTGTTGGCGCAAGGGTCAAATGTCTCCATGCTGCCGAGGGCTGGACCCTCGCTGCTCACGATGCCTCCCGTGGCGTAGATCTTCCCGTCCAGAATGACGGCGCTGCATAAAAAGACACACAATTTTCTTTCGAATCAAGGATTGGATGCACGAAAAGTGACATTTTTCTAAATTTGAACACAATATAAAAAGTTATGTGTTCCCATTTGATAGCAAGCTATCAGTTTCCCTGATGCTAAACTAAACTATATGCAATACTGAATCCTCTCATATCTACCTCGCAAAAAACAAACGAAACTAATCAAAGCAACAGCCATTCACTGCTTTTCTATAACATCTGTTGGAGGCTAAATCTGCCTCTAACAAACAACAAAGTGGTAAAAGCTGTTGACTGTTCCACAGAATGGCTGAAAAAGAAAAGAATCCACATGTTGCAATGGCCCGATCAAAGTCCAGATGTCAACCCGTTTAAAGTGCACTGGTGGGACCTTAAAGAGAGCTGTGCAGGGACTCAATGAACTAAAGCAGCGCTGTGGTGCCAAAGATTCCTGCGCAACAATGTGAGGGAGCAAGCAAGAGCAAGTTACTACTTCAAGTTACTATTGTACCACTGAGTCAAGAGGTTTTTAAGAGTAGCTGCTGTGCAAGTTTGTCTACAGTGCTACACCAAACTGTGTGGCTCCATAGTGCAGTGGGTTACAAATTAGCCGAGCAAGCGAAAGATCCCCGATTAAATCCTGGGAGGAGACGCAAACTTTGGGATCGCATCCGGTGTAAAAACAAGAAAGGAGCAGCCGAAAGTAGCTTTAGTACAAAAACGACACATCTGTAACTGACTGTGCCGCCCAGTCACCTTTAAGTGAAATCTAAAAGATGACAAATCTTGAGATTTTGTACGGGAAAGCGAGCATTACGCGCGCATCGACTGTTAGGATAAACAGTAATGAGAGGTAATCAGTGTCAGGAAGATAAGTAGCTCAGTGCAAGTATGAGCTGCTTTGATAAAGCTAGCTCTGAGTCACAGCGGCAGAAATATTGTTGGTGGCGTTAATCACGACGAGACAAAGCCACACAAAGACGGCATCTCCACAAA